CTTTTCTTTGTTGAAGAGGGTCTGTGCAATCCTTCTGCCTAGTTGGCCATCTTGCCCTGCCTCTAATTCCAACTTTTTAAGGAATCGCCATACTGCTTTCCACAGTGGTTGTACCATTTTACCATCCCACCAGCAATGTATGAGAGTCCCAATCTCTCCACATCCTTGCCAGCATTTGTTATTTTCTGTCTTGTTGAACATTGCTACTAGTGCCGGAGCAAGATGGTGCAAGATGGTATCTCGTTTTGATTTGCATCTCTCTAAAAGCTAATGATTGTGAGCATTTCTTCATATGTTTGTTGGCCACCTGAATATCCTCTTTGGTGAACTCTCTATTCATGTCTTCTGCCCAATTTTTAATTGAATTATTTGGTTTTTTGTTATTGAGGTGTTGGAGTTTTCTATAAATTCTAGAAATAAGTCCCTTGTCAGATGTGTCATTGCCAAATATTTTTTTCCCAATTTGCAGGTTCTCTTTTGACTCTTTTGGAGAAGTCTTTGGAAGCACATAAAAATTTAATTTTTAGAAGGTCTCATTCATCTAGTTTCTTTTCTGCTGTTTGTGCATTTTGGGTTATGCTTGATAGTCTATTTATGCCATATATTAGGGCCCTAAATTTGCCCCTAGGTTTTCCTTGTGGAACTTTATAGTTTGAGGTTTCGCATTTAAATCTTTGATCCACCTGGAGTTAGTTTTTGTGTATGGTGTGAGGTATAGATCTTGTTTCATTTTTCTGCAAATGGATATCCAGTTTTGCCAGCACTATTTATTAAACATTTTCTTCCCCATTTTGTGGATTTAGGCCCTTTGTGAAAGATCAGCTGACCTTAGGTCAATGGATCTGTTTCTGGGTTCTCAGTTCTATTCCATTGGTCTATGTGTCTGTCATTGTACCAATACCAGGCAGTTTTGACTACTGTGGCTGTATAATAGGTTTTGAGATCTGGCAGTGTGAGACCTCCTACTTTGTTCTTCTTCTTCAATACTGCTTTGCTTATCCGAGGTCTCTTTCCTTTCCATATAAAGTTAGTGATTGGTTTTTCCATAGCCTTAAAAAAGGTTGATGGGATCAGGATTGGGATCGCATTGAATGTATAGATTGCTTTGGGTAAAATTGACATTTTCACAATGTTCAATCTTCTTATCCATGAGCATGGTATGTTCTTCCATTTATGTAGATCTCTCATGGTTTCTTGAAGTAGTTTTTTATAGTTTTCTTTGGACAGGTCTTTTGTGTCCCTGGTAAGATTTATTCCCAAGTATTTTATTTGGTAGCTATTGTAAATGGTATTGATTTCTTTATTTCTTTTTCAGCAATCTACTGCTGGTGTGGAGAAGTCCAACTGATTTTTGGATGTTGATCTTGTATCCTGCCATGATGCTAAATCTCAATTAGTTCCAGTAGATTTTTGACTGAGTCTCTTGGGTTTTCTAGTATAGGATCATTATCATCAGCAAATAGGGATAGTTTGACTTCTTCCTTACCAATTTAAATGCCTTTCATTTCCCTTTCTTGCCTTATGGGCCTGGTTAGGACTTCCAGTACAATGTTGAATAGAAGTGGTGATAGAAGGCATCCTTGTCTGGTTCCTGTTCTCAAGAGAAATGGTTTCAGTCTCTCTCCATTGAGAATAATGTTGGCTGTTGGTTTTGCATAGATGTCCTTTATTCTCTGACACTTTCTTCATTGACATAATTGTTTCCAAAGCCTCAAGTTTGGCCTAGAGGTTTGGTCTCAGTGAAAACTTAAATAGTTTAGGCTTGCCCCAGTCCGTTCCTTCTACATTATTTTCCCTCAAGTGATACCTTTTCTCTTTTCTCTTTCATCTGAGGAGTGGGCCCTCCTGTTCTGTTCTCCTCTCACCATAAAAATTTTCTAAAACAAGAGCAGAATACCTACTTGTATAGGAAGAATATGATAAACCCATTCATCAAAAATGCGATTGCTGTCAAATCAACTCCAATTCATGGTGACCCCATGTATGTCAGAATAAAACTGTGCTCCACAGGGTTTTCAATCACTGTTTTTTCAGAAGTAGATCATAAGACCTTTCTTCCAAGTTGCCTCTGGATAGACTTGAACCTATAGAACCTCCAGCCTTTTGGTTAGTAGCGTTAACCATTTGAACTGCCCTGGAGCTCTGATGATGTAGTGCCTAAAGCATTTGACTGCTAACCAGAAAGCTGGCGGTTCAAACCTACCAGCCACTCCTTGGAAGGAAGATTGGGCAATCTACTTCTGTAGAGATCCTGCCTTGGAAACCCAAGGAGGGGTCACTATGAGCTGAATTGACTCGATGGCAGTGAGTTTTGAGTTTGCAGTACCTAAAACTCATTCATGTTTAGACATAAGTGACTGACAAAATCTTGAAGTGTGATGTTCCTCTTTCTCTTATTATTTACATTTCAACAAAGAAAAAAAGCCTGAAGTCAAAGTTGTTGCTGTGTGCCTGCCCCATAGGGTTTCCTAGACTGTAATCTTTATGGGAACAGACCACCAGGTCTTTTTTTCCTGGGAGTGGCTGGTGGGTTCAAACTGCTGATCTTTCAGTTAGCAACCAAGTGCTTAACCATTGAAATCTCAGGTATCTGTGGGAAGAGTTGGGAGTTCACGGGGAGGGGTCACCCTGGTGTGTCCCTGAAATAATGCATTGCAGGCAATTACTCTGTTTTCTCTCATGCTGGCCACGTGTGCTCTCTATCTAGTCCTGGCTTCTCTGGCCACTTGGGGATTTTACTGCATTCCCAAGGATTTCTGGGTGTGATTTTCTGTTTCTGATGAGTTGAAACAAATTCTTTCCAAGGAAAAAAGACAAATACTGCCACGAAGAATGCAGGTGGTGTGGGTTCTCAGGTTTTTGAATCATTTGGAATCTGGGAGCTCAGACCTTTCACTACCTAATTGAATTTCTCCAGAAGAGACAAATGGGCATAGTGATTAAGAATAAAATATTATTGGATTAAGTCCCAACTCTGCCATTGCCAGCTGTGTGATCTTCAGCAAGTGGTTTAATACCTCCATGTCTCAGTATCCTTACCTGTAAAATGGGGATAATAATTGTACCTACCTTATTGGGTTACTATGAGGTTTAAATGAGGTAATACATGTAGTAAAATCTCAGCACAGCACCTAGAATACAGTGTACATTTTATAAATGTTATTACTTTTATTATTAACCCTGTAATTTTGATGTTTATCACCCAGAGCCATTGTGTGCCTGGCTGGCTACAATGCCACTACCCAGGAGATTGTAAGACCTTCTGAGCTGTTGGCAGGAGTAAAAGCATACATTGGTTTCGTACAGTCACTGGCCCAGTTTTTGGGTGCAGATGCTTCCAGAGTCATCCGCAATGCCCTCCTGCAGCAGACACAGCCACTGGACTCATCTGGGGAGCAGACTATCACCACTCTCTACACAAATTGGTCAGTGTCACTTGTCTTCTCCCACTGCCTTTCTTCTTTGTTAGTATGCTCTTCTTTATACAGTAGGACTTCGGGTTCAAGCATTTTAGCTTGAACTAGGGTCATAGATCCTCAAATGGAGGCTTGTTTTTGCTTGAGGATCAGAGCAATAAAATGGGGCAAACTCAGCTCTCCTTACATCCATCTCAGGGTTTCCTTCTAAACTTCCATGTAACTCCATAAACCTATCTTGCAACAATTTGACCTCTTTCATTTTATCTCTAGTTCTTAACTTTCCTTTTCTAGATTCTTAGTGAATTTCAAATAATTTTACTTCCTTTTTATGAAATTCTCTTTTCACCCAAGCTTCTCCCTCTGAAAACCATTCTGTGTACTACCATGTCTCTGAAACACTATCTTCTCATCCCCAAACACGACTATGTCAAGTCTAGCAGATTGTTCTTAATAAGGAAGGGGACTTCATCCCCAAATCTGGAGGAGGTGGGAATCAGAACTTTCTTTTGAGGTTTTAAGGAATGGAAAGGAACCAGATTCCTACCTCCCCAAGCCACTGGGTGGCACTCTTAATCCAAAATCTACTCAGTAGGCACCAGGCTGCACAGTAGAGCCCAGGGAGCAGGGGAGCAAGCTGAGGGAAATAGAAATGCTATAGGGGCCAGGCAAGGAGTTTTGCTAGCGTAGTGCCTAAGGCACTTGACTGCTAACCAGAAGGCTGGCAGTTCAAACCCATCAGCCACTCCTCGGAAGGAAGGTTGGGCAATCTACTTCTGTAGTGATATCGCATCGGAAACCCAGGGAGGGGTCGCTATGAGTCAGGCCGACTTGATGGCACATAACAACAACAACATAGGGGCCAGGCAAGTCAGGTAAAAGTGTGTTGTAGGCTTGGTAGGAACTTTGAGGGGTTGGAGAGGACGTGCCCTTCTAAAGGAGACAGTTCCAGTTGATTGCTGGCCCACTAACTATTTTTTATGTAAAATTTCTTGGTTTAAAAATGTTGACAATTAATTCTAATTAAAAGAAAAAAGAAAAAAAAAAAAAAAAGAGAGAGACATTTGGCTACTGGGTTTGACCTACTTGTAATTAGTTTGTGACCTTTATAAGACACAGGCTGAGAGCAGAGCCTGGGTGAATGGCAGGAGGTTGGCCAAGTTCTCCTCTGCCAGCATGGCTGGAGCCCTGGCCCTCTGTTTGCCCAGAGGTCAGGGGGAGAATATTTGGAGACTGGATGACCACTATTCATAGGGCTTCTCTGTGCTAGAAGATCTGACTTGAGACTGGCTTTCAGGACTCCTCAGTCCTCAGTCCAGCATTCTCATTGGAGAGGCAAAAGCTAAGTATATTTCAGAGGATTCCAATTAGTGGATTTTTTTCCTTGTCAGATTGGGTCTGTCTGACCTGACAGAGTAATGCCAAGGGTGAGGGGAGTGCATTAGTTGGAAAACAACCGGTGGTAGGGAAAGGGATGCAGTGCATTTTGATAGCATAGTGAAGTACCCTGTGCATTGGAGGCTAAGTGGAATTACATTACTGCCAATTGTTTTTGAGCCAACAGCTTCTGATGTTAATTAGAGCATTGTACTGTCTTCTTTGAACCTCTTCTCTCCACCCTAGCTTTTGGTAGAGTTTCTCCTTCTAAGGCTGGGAGTGTTGTTATTGTTATTTGCCGTTGAGTTTGACCCGACTCATAGTGACCCCTCCTTGGGTTTCTAAGGCAGTGTCACTACAGAAGTAGATTGCTCAACCTTCCTTCTGAGGAGTGGCTGGGGGGTTTGAACCACCAGCCTTCTGGTTAGCAGTCAGATGCCTTAGACACTATGCTACCAGAGCTCCTAGCCCAGGAGTAGTGGTGGAAAATAGTGGTAGAAGGGATTGAATACTAATCTGTGATTTCCTGGTCATCCCTGTAGGTACCTGGAAAGTCTGCTTAGACAAGCGAGCAATGGGGCCATCATCCTCTCCCCAGCCATGCAGGCCTTTATCAGCCTCCCCAGAGAAGGGGAGCAGAACTTCAGTGCAGAGGAGTTCTCTGACATATCTGGTGAGCCTGGTGCCTGGTCTTCCTTGTCAAGAATCTGGGCCTTTCCCCTCAATATAATATCTCAGCTACCACACCTTTCCAAATACCCACTTTACACTCTCCTCAGCATCTCTGCTAGACTCCTCTTTTGGTTACCTTATGCCATTCTAACAGAAATACCACAAATGGGTGGTCTTAGCAAACGAGTTTTATTCTCTTACAGTTGAGGAGGCTAGAAGTCCGAGTTCAAAGTGCCAGTTCTAGGGGTTGGGTGAAAGGTCCTCCACCTTGGCTTCAGTTCTGCCTCTTGCTCCTGGCCCACTGAAGCTGGAGGCTTCTCTTAATGGAGGCAGCTGCTGACTGCTGAGGCTGACAAACCCAAGGTTGACAAATAAAATGGCACAGTCCCAAGATTACCAAACATGGCAAGCCACTAGTTCAAGTCTAGAGATAGTCCCAAGATCGGTAGGAAACATGACAGGCTGCTGAATGAAGACTTGGCTACATGAAGGGTCCAAGCATGGAAAAAGCTGCAGAGACTTTGTTCAATGCTTTTTCTTATATATTGGAAGCAGACTTCAACCCTAAGGCAGCTACTTAGCTGCTCACAGTAGATTCCACCATGGAGTTGATTACCAATCTCACCATGGGGAATAACTACATCCAGCTGCCCAGCCACTGAAAACCAGGCCCAGCCAAGTTGACATGCAACCTTAACTACCACAGTCCCACCTTCAGGCAGATAGAAAGGAATTGAGGAGTGGCTTTGGGGTTAAAGGTAGAGAGAAAATGAGGGGAGTTATGAGTAATCAAGTCACAGAAGAGATTATTCCTGGAAGGGTCATAAATGGTTATTCTTTGTTTTCATTAAGAATAAAAGAGTATGACATAGAATGAAGGGCAAAGGATAAAGTGTGAAGAGGACATCCTCATACCTGGAATTATTAAACTGTGGTCTGATGTCATGGCAAATTTTTCCTTAGTGATAAAGTTTGAGCTTTAGCCAGTGCTTGGATTGTTGCTGTTTAATAATTGTTGTTACTGGGTGCCAGTGAGTTGATTCTGACTCATAGTGACCCCATGTGACAGAGAAGAACTGTCCCGTAGGGTTTTCTTGGCTGTAATCTTTACAGAAGCAGATTGTCAGGTCTTTCTCCCTGGGGACAACCTCTGGATGGGTTTGAACCTTCAACCATTCAGTTAACAGCTGAGTATTTAACCATTGCACCATCAGGACTCTTTATGTTTAGTAATAATACTTATAATAATGAGATAATGACTAATATTTATTGAATTGTAGGTTAAATTCTAAATGCATAAGTGTATTAACTCATTTTAATCTTTTTTTTTTTCCCTGCATGTACATCTGGTTTACTATTGGGCTGAGAGCCAGCCCCTGGGAGTGAGCTTTATTTCAGGCCCAGAAAGTATCCCAAGACCATAGTATTGGGGGTGTCACCAGACTCCATTTGACTAGTAATTCTGGTCATTATTGGGTTTTTGTATTTTGTTCCACATTTTTCCTCCCACTCTATCCAAGATCTCCATATTTGATCCTTTCCTGAGTAGTTGGTATTGGTAGCTGGGCACCATCTAGTTCTCTGGTCTCAAGGGCCATCATGTCCTAGGGCTGATTGCTTCCAAATGCCCTTGTTTTTTTTGCACTCTTCTTTGCTTCTGGCAATAGGAGACCTTTAGCTGCATCTTAGATGGCCACTCGAAAGCTTTTAAGACTCCAGTTGCTACTCACCAATGTAGGATGAGGAATAAGACTTTTATGTATTTTGTTGTGCCAATTGAGTCTGGTGTTCCCCAATACCATGGTCCTGAGTCAGTAGATTCGTTGGATCTCTCTCCCACAGTGTCTGGCTGTCTGTGAGGGATTACTCTATGTCTGTCTTCTGTTGCTTCTGTAAGGATTGTGGTTATTTTGTATCACTGGTATCTGTGCAAGATTAGCCTCTGCTGAATCTATCCTTGCTCTAGAGTATACTCCTGTTCACTGACCCCCATCTGATCTTCTCAGATGTTTATGTGTTTATCTGTAGCCTGATGTTTGGTGTTAATGGTAATGCAGTATTGTGGGTATACTGGTTAAATCATTTAATGTTAACAGCAGTCTAGAGGTAGTTACTTTCATGACTCCCATTTTACAGATGAGCAAACTGAAATACAGAGAGGTTGGACCTTGCCTAAAGTTACACATTAGTAAATGGTAAAGCTGGGATGTCAGTCAACTCAAGGCAGCCTAATGCTAGAAACCAGGTGCTTGGCCACGACACAGTGCTGCTTCCTAGCGTATAGAAGACTTATGTCTCAATGTGGAGGGGTGGGGAGGCAATGAATGAGTTGGGAAGCTTGTCTCTTTTTAAAGAGAGCTTGAAGCCATCAGAGCTTCCCTTTTTAAAAACTGATGTGAAATTCTCATAATATAAAATTAACCATTTAATTAAAATTAAAATTAATTTAAATTAAAATTGTTTAACAATTTAGTGGCGTATAGTGTATTGAAAATGTTGTCCACCTCTGTCTAGTTCCAATACATTTTCATTGCCCCAAAAGGAAAGCTTGTATCCATTAAGCTGTTGCTCCTCACACTCCCCAGCCCCTGGTAACCACCAGTCATGTACAGATACTTTTAAAAATAGATTGTTTTACCAGCTGACTGATTCATGAGCTATGCTCCTTCTCTGATTCTCCTTACCTCCATATAAACCATGAAACCTTCATGGTGGGTAGGTCAGGTAGGAGCTGTTTCAATAATCCTGTCCTCTCTGTTCATCCCTTTCTTTGGGGATGGGGTGTGTGTCAAGAAAGTCCAGATCTATAGTTCTGTTTTCTAGCTCTGCCTTCTTACCTTCTACCTGACTCCATCAATAAGCTGACCCTACTCTTTACCTGTTGGAGGTTTCAGATGTCCACTCCTCATCAACTCTACCCACAAACTGTAGGCAGCCCCTAAAATCAGCTTTAGATCTTACTGACAGCTGATCAGCAGCAGGAGGTAATGCTGATTCCCCCTTCTGCCACCCCACCCCAATTTCTGAGTTGCCATGGTGATGGGACAATGCTACTGTAAAAATAGATAGATGGAAAGAGAAAGATGCTCTAGGGTTACTAGCCTAGAGTAGAGAAGACTGGAGTGAGGAGGTTTGATAAATTCAAGTGGGTAGATCAGCATGTCTTCTCCAGCAGCTCCAGAGAAGGTGATTCAGCTCCTCTTCCCCTGTGTCAGCCATCTTAGCATTGTCTAAGTTCATCAGTTAGGAAATCTTTTTGTAGTTCTAATCTTAGTTCTTCCTATTATAAATGGATAAATTAAAAAATGTCTAGTAAGTATCCATTCTGGACAAGGCTCTGTGTCAAGTTCTGTGACCAGTTCTCCTTTCCTCCATCATTGGTGGAGTTAGACATCAACTGGGCCTGCCTTCAGAGACTTGAGTGGAAAGCATTGACTTGCTTTTCTATCTGAACGCTTATTAACTCCATTAAACTTGCCTTTCTCTTGTTGGTCTCTTATTGCTTCTGTCCTTTTATGATTTTCTCTGCTGGGTGGGCCTACAGCCAAAGATCATAGCTAGAGCCCTCTCCAGTCTGTATTTGTTATTAGTGTGTCTTATGTGGGATTTCTGCAGGAGAATTCTGTTTAATTCACAAAGGGCCACAAGTGGGCTGAATTGGAAGGGATAAGGCATTAGAACAGACTAGAGGGAAGAAGGCATTGGAGCAGAGTAGAGAAGGATTTAGAGGAAAAAAAACCAACTGAAATCCTGGGGTTATGTGTTAATTTTTTTTTTTTTTTTGGTGGTGGGGGAAAGAGTAGCCTAAGGAGAGGAAAACTTGGACAGTGAAACATTAAATAAGGGAAGCCGAGAGAGGAATGTACTAAAAGCCAGACCTTAGATAAGGAAATAGTTGTGGTATCTGCTAGGACATAGTAAGGGGTAGTGTTCTGGTTACCTAGTGCCACTCTGACAGAAATATACCACAAATGGGATGGCTTTAACAAACAGGAGTTTATTCTCTTAAAGTTTGGGAGGCTAGAAGTCTGAGTTCCAAGTGCCAGGCTCTAGGGGCTGTGTGAAGGCCCCTCAACCTTGGGGTCCAGCTCTGCCTCCTGCTCCCAGCCCACTGGAGCTAGAGGCGTTTTCTCACTCAGACAGCTGCTGGCTGCTAGTCTGCCAAGCCCAAGGTTGACAAATAAAACGGCACAGTACAGATGTTACTAAACCATATAGCAAACCATTAACATTAACATTAACATTAAGTCCATTGTAAGTCCCAAAGTCGGCAGAGCATGGCAGGCTGCTGAACAATGACACGACTCCATGGAGGGTCCAAGCTGTGCCATAAGCTAGAGACCATTCCCAAAGCTGCTTCTTATATATGGGAAGCAGACCACATACCCAAAGCAGCAACTCAGCAGCTTATAGTAGATCCCACCATGGAGCTGATTGCCAGTCTCATCATGGGGAATAACTACCACCAGCTGCCCAGCCACTCAGCCAGGTCCAGCCAAGTTGACACAAAAACATCACCACCACAGGTAGTAAGAGGCAATGTACTAGGTTTCAGGACCAGACCTTGACTTAGTTAAGTGAGCTTGCCAATAAAACCAGGATGATAATATATGTGGGAGATCCCTGTACCACATACTTCAGAGGGCTGTTAATAGTGTTCATCATAATAATTCTTTATTCATATATGTATATAGTTTTCTAAGGTTCTTATAATGTATCTCACTGTTACTCTGAGGTATTCAGGGCAGATATTAATCAACTAATCCCAATAAGGTGTGTAAATAACCAGTTACAGGGCAGACGGAGATACAACCAATCATTTTTTTGCAGAATTACAAACCCAGAGCCAAAATGACCATATATGAGAGAAAAATCATTGCACTGCAGCAAAGTATAAAATAGTGTGTACATGATGCTATCAGTTTGTGAAACATTGGTGTATTCATGTTGTACATTTTATAAATGCCAATAATGTTGTAGGGATAGTCCATTATAGAACGTTAACAGGAATCCTTCCCTGAAGCAGTAATTGTGATTGAATTGTTCTCTCAGTTTGCTTCTCCTCAATTTTCAATTATTTTATATTCATTATTCATTTCTTATGAAATTTTTTACATTTTTTTTTCAGTTTTAAAACAGTAATTTACTTTTGGAATCTGAGTTGACAAATTCACAAAGCCTGATGATAATCATTTGGCTGGCAGTTCAAACCCACCAGCCACTCCTCGGAAGGAAAATTGGGAAATTTATTTCCGTAGAGATACTGCCTTGAAAACCCAAGGAGGGGTTATTGCTATAAGTCGAGTCAACTCTATGGCAGTGAGTTTGGCGTTTTTTTTTTTTTTAACAGAGAAGTAAATGGAATCTCAGAGAGGTTCTTACAGCTAATAAAGCTAATACAGCTAGTGCAAAAGTACAAGCCAAGAACCATGTGAAAGGGCTTAGGAATGTATAGATTCTTACAAGAATATAAAGTAAAATAGTTATCAGTTGTTAAGTCTTGGTGTGAGTGCCAGTGGGGAGGGTAAACCATCCCACATGTAAGCTGGACCAGTCACCTGAATGTAGGATCTCACTTTTCCTCCCCAACCTCCCACTTCACTTTACTAACTGGAAAATGTTTTAAATGTTCAAATTATTCTATGTTCATTACAAATGCTCCAATGTCCTGTGAGTCCCACCTGGGACCTCTGTAATTCTATTCTAGAGATGCGGGCCTTGGCTGAACTCTTGGGACCATATGGCATGAAGTTCCTGAGTGAAAACCTGATGTGGCATGTGACCTCTCAGATTGTGGAGCTGAAGGTGCTGTGGAAACAAGCTCTGGGAAAAGGTCCAGACTCAGGGTACTGGGGGAAAGATGTAAATTGGACTCTTCATTTCCTGCTTAATGTCTCTGTGTTCTATGGGCTACAGAAGCTGGTGGTGGAAAACATGGATGTACTTGTTCAGATCAGATCGAACTTTAGCAAGCCAGACTTGATGGCTTCTCTGCTGCCCCAGCTGACGGGTAAGCAGTGAGAACAAACTGTGGGCAAAGCATTGGGATTGACAAGAGTTTTCAGGGACCTGGGGGCAGCTAGGCTGGGTCTGAAAGAAGGAAAACCATCCTAATTCTCCTGCTAAGTTCTCCTGTCTAACACTCTTCTTTCTCAGGGGCTGAGAATGTCCTGAAGCGTATGACCATCATTGGAGTGATCCTCAGTTTTAGGGCCATGGCCCAAGAGGGACTTCGGGAGGTAAATTAGGGGAGAGGGGCTCACAGAATCACAGATACCTCAGGGAGTAGGGATTATATGAGAAGTTGTGGAAAGGATTGCTGAACAACGGAGAGAAAGAAAGAGGAAGATCTCTGTGGATAAATGAACTGAGGAAACTTAGAGGGGTGAGGAGAAAGCTATCATGGGAAGTTCTCTAGGTTCTTGTCTAAGTTGAGGCCCTTTTTTTGCTTCCACCTATCTTTGAAGGCATCAGCCAGTATTCTGTGGATTCATTTATTTTCTTTTTCCTTCAGGTTTTCTCCTCCCACTGTCCATTCCTTATGGGTCCAATTGAGTCCCTGAAGGAATTTGTTACTCCAGACACAGACATCAAGGTATGGGGGAATGCAAAGTACAATCTAATTAGATGGATGTTGTTGAAAGGGATATAGCTGGGATATTTTGAGGAGAGGAGCTGAGATTTGAATGGGAAAATATTGTGGGAGACTTTGTAGAGATAGAAGCACTAGTCAGAGAATTAGGGCAGAGCTGGAGAGACATGGGGAGAAGTAGGAGCCAGGGAGACCCTGTGGAGACTGGGGAAACATTACTGGAGGGAGAGGGGTAAGATCTAGGATAGAATCTGTAGGTTTTCACCTGAAATGAGCAATGTGCAAACTAGATGCCAAACCATGTGCAAACTTGTCCCCACTTTAGTCAGGAACTTGGTTACTTTTTGTAAAAGAATTTGTTCCTTCCATTACCACCCACCCAGCCTGCCCTCAGAATTCCTTCCTTTTCTTAGTCTTGTCTTTCTCCAAGTTCTTAAACTTCTGGTTCCTCTATGTCTCTATGCCTCAGGCCCCCTTTTGTTACAGGAGATGGAAAGAGGAAGAGGGGCTTTTGTAGAATCTAGCATCTATTTCTCCTGCCCCTACCCCTACCTTTGAGTCATCTTTTTGTCTTTTGAATCACCTGGAACTAACAACAAGTATGTTATGCAGTAAATAAAGCCAAAGACTGGAAGCAAGGGGCTTCAAATGCATGGGGCAGGCTACTTCTCTTATAACTGATTCCTTTAACAGAGACAGTTCTGTGATAAGAGGAAACTGGGAGCAAATTAGATGTTAAGAAAAATCTCCTTACCTTGAGACCAAAAATATAAAATTATAAAAATGCAAAATTTTCCCCGGTCTCTGCCTGCAATCATATGAGGGCCAAATAATCACAGGGGAGGTGAGAGAGTGATGTTTCACTGGGATGCCTGCCCATCTTGAATGGTCTTTGATTTTACAGTGAGCCTGGTCTTCTGGCAGCTGCTGATTTTGGAGCCAAGTGCTCTAGCCTGTCAGGAGCTTATCTGGCTGACATCTCTGGGCACCTCTCAGCTTTAGGCTCTGCCTGCCTGTGGAAATAAGCAGGTGAGGGTAGAGAGGAGGGATGACCTATCCATCATAGGTTCTGTTACTGCCTCAGAGGGATGAGAAGATTGGGGGAGAGAAAATAAGATACTTTCAATCATCCCTTTCTTTTTCCAAAAAACCACAGGTCACAGATCAGGCACTTGATCTAGGCCATGGTTGCTACAAGCAAGGTCATCTAGGTAGTAGGGAATTTAAGTAAGCAGTGGAGCAGAATGTGGCTAACGTTTGGCTTCTGTGTTGAGTACCTTAGGCAAAATGTGTGTGTGTTATTATGTCTGTGGGGTTCTTTGCATAAGATACTGTACTTGTCAATTTTGGGAACAGTTATGCTTATTCTCTCAGAATATTTTAAAGTCTTATTTATTTATTTATTTAAAACTTCTAAAGGGTCCGACTCGAGGGCAAATAACAACAACAACAAGAGGGGGATCTAAGTACTTGGAGTGGGGAGTTGGGGCTCCATTCCGGGATTCAGGTATCAGTTGTTGTTGTTAGTGAATATGTATTGAATGCCTTCTGTGTGCTTCTTGTTGTTGTTATGTGCCGTCGAGTCGGACTGACACATAGTGACCCCTCCTTGGGTTTCCGAGGCAGTATCACTACGGAAGTAGATTGCCCAACCTTCCTTCCAAGGAGTGGCTGGTGGGTTTGAACTGGTTTGAACTGGTTAGCAGTCAAGTGCCTTAGGCACTATGTATGCTACCAGAGCTCCTTCTGTGTGCTTAGTATTGTATTAAATGCTAACAAGGACACAAGGAAATGCAAAGCTCATGCTTTTAAGATAAAGGAGGAGGAGAGAAAGGAATAACATTTATTGAGTATCACTCTTGTCAGTCTTGAGGGTAGACACTTTACATACATAGTCTGATTTAATCTTCACACCAACTCTGTGAGTTAAGCATTGTATCCCAGTTTTACAGATGAGAAAACTGAGACTCACAGAGGTTAAATAATTTTTAGCCAAGTTCAAACATTTAGTAAGTGGTAGCCCTAGGATTTGAACTCAAATATATCTCACTCCAAAACCTTTTTTTCCTTTCATTATGCAATGAGGTCTTTAAAAAGTTATGATCTTATTGGTGAGATAAGCCATATGACTCACCTCCTATTTGAAAAGATAGCTCACAATACAGGTATTGTGTGTTATAAATACGAAGTCAGTGGCACCAGTTTAAGGAGGGAGAGATGAATTTGGGTTGAGGTAATCAGGGAGGGCTTCACAGAGAAGATGGAATATGAGTTAAGTCTCAAGGGATGGGTGTCACTTAGCTATAAGTCATTGTAATATGCCATCGAGTCTATTCTGACTCATAGTGACCCCGTAAGACAGAGTAGAACAACCTCACAGAGTTTCCTAGCCTGAAATCTTTACAGGAGCAGATCACCAGGTCTTTTGTCCTACAGAGCCACTGATGGGTTTGAATGCTGACCTTTTGGTTAACAGCTGAGTACTTAATTGTTGTGCCACCAGGGCTTTTTAGGTATAAGTAGAGGAGAGGAAAGGACACTATTGAAAGAGGAAAGCAATATGAACTAAAGTATGGAAGTAAGAAAGTAAGTTGTATTTTTGGGACACTGAATAAATTATCCTGGCTGCATTGACTTTTGGAAGCATTTAGGGAAATAAGGTTGAAAAGGGTAAATTTGTACTATGTTGTAACCTGAATGCCAAGCTAAAGCATTTGGTCCCCAACCCCCAACCCCTCCCTGCATAGACTAGGAAGAAGTATTATAGGAATACCTGGAATACCTGACAATACACCAGAAGTTGAAAATTGTGATCCATTCAGTGCGGGAGATCCTGGATAGAGTGGAAAAACAATGTGGAGCAAAACTCAAAATCATGAAAAAGACCAGGCTAACTGGTCTGATAGAGCCTGGTGAGACCCCTGAGACTATAGTCCCTAGTCATCCTTCAGGTCTGAAATTGAATTCACTTTAGTGGCTACCAGCCAAACAATAGACAGGCATATGGGGTGAACATTTACATCAGGTAGATACACTCCTTAGAACGATCAATCGTGGAAGAACAGAAATGCAGTATTTGCACAAAGAGATAGCTCAGGGGGCTGGAATGCATAAGAAAGAAGGATACAGGGAAGGGGTAACTAATACAGGGAGGAAGTGGGGACAGAGCTGTTACATTGTGGGGAATTGCAGTTAATGTGATGAAACAAAATGTGTATGAACTGCTGTATGGAAAATAAATTTGCTCTGTATACTTTCACCCAAATCACAATAAAAATGGAAAAAAAAAATTGTGATCTAGGAATCTTGGCTACCTATGACTTTTGCCAAGTGTTTGTTTCCTGGGAATCCTCTTCAGAATGTTCTTTTCCTTTCTAACAGGTTACCCTGAGTGTCTTTGAGCTGGCATCTGCTGCAGGGGTGGGCTGTGACATTGACCCAGCCCTGGTGGCTGCCATTGCCAATCTGAAAGCTGGTAAGATAGGAGGAAGGGAAAGGGAGGGGGCTTGGGTCCTATATTTGGGTGGGGAAAATGTTAGTGTCAAAAAAGCTTTTATTTGGGGTTGTGAATTCAGGGAAAATAATTTAGGAGCCAAGGAAAACTTAAAGTATAGACCTTAGCTCCCAGAAAATACTTACTTAGGCAGTTGAGATTTCACCTTAGGTTCCAAACAAATGATCTATCACTCAGCTAAAAAGTGAGAGTCTGTTGCTTAGCAAGTACCCAAAGGAAATTACAATCTGGTTAGAGAAATAAAATTAATGTAAATGAAACCATGAGAGAAGAATACAAAATAGTATATGATTTGTGCTAAGTTGTGTCTTGTGCTCTTCCCTTCTACATAATCACTGAGGCAGCATTTGCTTCTTGCTCAGTCTCATTCTGTCTCTTATATTCCATAATACATTTCCTCTGTTTAGCACATTCATACTTATGCATAATCAGAATAAGATGCAACCAATGTGTATGTTATAGCCACCACTCATCTGTCAGTTTGTTGTACTGTGGTGGCTTGCATGTTGCTGTGATGCTGGAAGCTATGCCACCTGTGTTTCAAATACCAGCAGGGTCATTCATTGTAGATAGGTTTCAGCAGAGCTTCTAGACTAAGACAGACTAGGAAAAAGGACTTGGTAATCTATCCACCTCTGAAAAATTGGCCATTGGAAAACCTTATGAAAAGCAGCAGAACATTGTCTGAGATAGTGCCAGAAGATGAACCCCTCAGGTCAGAAGGCACTCAAAATATGACTGGGAAAGAGCTGGCTCCTCAAAGTAGGGTTGACCTTAGTGACATGGTTGGGGTAAAGCTTTTGGGACCTTCATTTGCTGATGTGGCATGACTCAAAATGAGAGGAAATAGCTGTAAACATCCATTAATAAGTGGAATGTGGAATATACCAACTATGACTCTAGGAAAAATGGAAGTTGTCAAAAATGAATTAGAATGCATAAAGATCAATAATCCTAGGCATTAGTGAGCTGAAATGGGCTGGTACTGGCCATTTTGATTTGGACAATCATATGGTCTATTATGCCAGGAATGATAAATTGAAGAGGAATCACATCATCAAAAAGAGCATTTCAACATATGTCATGAAGTACAACACCATCAATGATAGGATAATATCCATACATCTACAAGGGAGATCAGTTGATATGATTACTATTCAGATTTATGCACCAACCACTAGTGGCAAAGATGAAGAAATGAAAGATTTTTATCAGTTTCTGCAGTCTGGAATTGATCAAACATGCAATCACAATGCATTGACAGTTATTGGTGATTGGAATGTGAAAGTTGGAAACTAAGAAGGATCAACCAAAAAACCAAACCAAACTCACTGCTGTTGAGTCAGACTCATAACGACCCCTCCTTGGGTTTCTGAGGTGGTATCACTACGAAAGTAGATTGTCCAGTCTTCCTTCTAAGGAGTGGCTGATTAACAGTCAAATGCCTTAGTTGAAAAATAAGGCCTTGGTGATAGAAATGAAATCTTATGATAGAATTTTGCAAGACCAATAACTTACTCATTGAGAATACATTTTTCAACAGCATAAATGGCAACTATATACATCACCCTCATGAATAGAATACACAGGAATCAAATTGACTACACCTATACACCCATGGAAAGAGAGGGAGCTCTGGTAGCATAGTGGCTAAGACACTTGCCTGCTAACCAGACGGCTGGTGGTTCAAACCCACCAGCCACTCTTCGGAAGGAAGTTTGGGCAATCCTACTTCCGTAGTGATACTGCCTCGGAAACCCAAGGAGGGGTCGCTATGAGTTGGGTTTGACTCGACGGCACATAACAACAACAACAACATGGAAAGAGATGATGGAGAAGCTCAATTTTAAGTAGGAACAAGGTCAGAGGCCAACTGTGGAACAGACCATCAATTGCTCATATGAAAGTTCAAGTTGAAGCTGAAGAAAATTAAAACAAGCCCATGAGAGCCAAAGTGTGACCTACAGTATATTCCATCTAAATTTAGAGACCATCTGTAGAGTAGATTTGAGGTATTGACTAACAACCAAAGACTGAAGCTGTGGGATGACATCAAGGATATCCTATGTGAAGAAAGCAAAAGGTCTTTAAAAAGACCAAAATGAATGTCAGAAGAGACTCTGAAACTTGCTTTTAAATGTAGAGTAGCTAAAGGGTACTGAAGAAATAATAGTATAAAATAGAAGTTTTCAAAGGGCAGCTCAAGAAGACAAAGATTATAATGAAATATAAAAAGACTTGGAGTTAGAAAACCAAAACGGAAGAACATGTTCCGCATTCCTCAAGCTGAAATAACTAAAGAAAAAAACTCAAGCCAAGAGTTTCAATATTGAAGAATTCTATGGGCAAAATTGAATAACACAGGAAGCATCAAAAGAAGATGGAAGGAATACACAGAGTCACTATACCAAAAATAATTGCTTGATGTTCACCCATTTCAGGAGGTAGTATGTGAATAAGAACCAATGGTATTTTGAAGGAAAATGACCAAGATGCACTGAAGACATTAGAAGAAAAAAACAAGCCTTCAGAAATTAACAGACTATGAATTGAGATGTTTAAACAAATGGATGCAAATGCTGAAAGTGCTTACTCATATATGGCAAGAAAATTGGAAGACACTTACCTCGCCAACTGATTGTAAGAGATCCATATTTGTGCTCATGCCAAAGAAAAATGATCCAAAAGAATGCAGAAATTATCAAACAGTATCATTAATATCATACCCAAGTAAAATTTTGCTGAAGATAATTAAAAAATGGTTGCAGCAGTACATCATCTGGGCATTGCCAGAAAATTCAAGCTGGATTCAGAAGAGACTGTGGAATGAAGGATACTATTATTAATGTCAGATAGATCTTAGTTGAAAGCAGAGACTATCACAGAGATGTTTACTTGTGTTGTATTGACTATGCAAAGGCATTTGGCTGTGTGGATTGTAAGAAATGGACAACATTTCCAAAAATGGGAATTTTAGAATGCTTAATTGTCTTCATGCAGAATGTGTACATAGACCAAGAGGTAGTCTTTTGAACAGAACAGGGGATACGGCATGGTTAAAATCAGGAAAGGTGTGCATCGCCATACTTTTGCAACCTGTATACTGAGCAAATCTGAGAAGCGGGACTATGTGAGGAAGAATATGGCTTCAGGACTGGAGGAACACTCAATAACAACCTGAGATATGCAAATGATACAGCCTTGCTTGCTGAAAGTGAAGAAGACTTGAAACACTTACTGATGAAGATCAAAGACTACAGCCTTCAGTGTAGATTACATCTCAATATAAAGAAAACAAAAATCCTCACAACTGAACCATAGCAACATCATGATAAATGGAGAAAAGATTGAAGTTGTCAAGAATTTCATTTTACTTGGATCCATAATCAATGGCATGGAAGTCAGCAGTCAAGAAATCAAATTTGCATTGAGCAAATCTGCTGCAAAAGACCAAAAGTGTTAAAAAGCAAAAATGTCACTTTGGGGACTTAGGTGCACCTGACCCAAGCCATGGTATTTTCAATTGCCTCCTATGCATTTAAAAGCTGGACAATGAGTAAGGAAGATCAAAGACAAACTGATTCCTTTGAATTACGGTGTTGGCAATATTGAATATTGAATTTACCATGGACTGCCAGAAAAATGAACAGATCTGTCTTGAAAGAAGTTTAGCCAGAATGTTCCTTAGAAGAGAGTATGGTGAGACTTTGTCTCATGTACTTTGGATATGTTATCAGGAGAGACCAAGTGAAGGACATCACTTATAAAGTAGAGGGTCAGCAAAAAAGAAGATGCTCAACAAGATGGATTTGAACAGTTGCTACAATAATGAGCTCAAATAGCAAGATTGTGAGGATGGTGCAGGCCAGGCAGTGTTTCTTTCTGTTGCATATGGGGTTACTATGAGTTGGAACCAACTTGGCAGCACCTAACAACAACAAGAAGCTGGTGTTCTGCCCTTTCAAAATTTCCAGACTCACCCTCCCCTCCTTCCTCTCTTTTGTTAGATGAGAGCCTTCCCTAGTACTTTCCTCTTCTTCTTGCTTTTTTACCCCATCCATCAGCTGGCAGAGCATCCCTGGGACTGCATTTCAGCAGGACCCTTAGCTAAAAGCTCTACTCAGTCACCAGAGGGGACCTCCAGTCACCTCAGGCACCTTACTATAAGTGAATGCTAGTCCAGTTCCTTTCTGTAATAATAACTTGCCTATAGTGCTTTATAAATAGCTCTGGTGGCATAGTGCCTAAGGCATTTGATTGCTAACCAGAAGGTTGGCAGTTCAAACCCACCAGCCACTCTGTGGAAGGAAGACGGGGCAATCTATATCTGTAAAGATTTACTGTCTTGGAAACCCAAAGGGGGTTGCTATGAGTCAGAATCAACTCGATGGCAGTGAGTTTGGTTTGGTTTTATAGTGCTTTTAATGTATTTTTCATAGATATTTTCTCATGATCCTCATACCACTCATGTGAAATAGGACCCCTATAGAAGATAACTCCTATTTGTTGCCCTTACTCATTTTTCTTCTTTTTTCTTCTCATCAGATACATCATCCCCTGAGGAAGAATATAAGGTGGCCTGCTTGCTCTTGATCTTCATTGCAGTTTCCCTCCCACTCCTTGCCACAGATCCTTCTTCCTTCTATAGCATTGAGAAGGATGGTAAGTAAGGAAGGAGTAAGTCTGAGGGACTAGTGCTATTTAGGTTAGTGTCCCAGGGTAGGGAGATGAGATGAAGACACTTGTCTGGAAGATAGACTTCTCACTCAGATGTAAAGTTCTGTTCCAAAAAGCATCTGAGAATGAATGAACTTTGCATGAAATTCAATTCCAATGAAATTTCTTTGGAATATTCTTCCCTGATCCCAAAATGCCTTCTGGTCATTGTGGCATCACATAGGGATGGGCCAGCCTGAAAAAGTGAGAAATTATGAGTTAAGGTCTCCTGGAGTGGCTTACCTTGTCATTTCCTTTTGTTTCTTTCCCTTTATCATTAACAACTTAGGTTACAACAATAATATTCACTGCTTGACCAAAGCTATCATCCAGGTGTCTGCTGCCCTCTTCACACTCTACAACAAGAACATTGAAACTCACCTCAAGGAATTTCTAGTGGTGAGTGAGTCTTGGTTATAAAGAATGAAAGATTGCAAGGTCTGATAAGAATTGGTTTGCTATAAATCCATACAATGTTATTATTGAACAGGCTTTTGAGATCATCCAGTCTAATCCATCATCTGATTAACTCAGTAAATAATGAGAGTCTACTTTAGGAAAGGCAGTAGTTTCTTCAAAATTCTCTAACAGCTTTTATTTCAATCTCTGCCTGAATGCTTGAGGAGCCCTGGTGCTAACAGTCTTGGGAACCCTATGGGTCAGTTCTACTCTGTTCTGTAGGGTTGCTATGAATTAGAATTTACTTGATGGCATTTTATAAAAACACCTGAATGCTTGGCAAGATTGTTAGACTAAAAATCAGGAAATCTGAATTCTCATTCTGGATCTGCCACTAAAAAGCCATGTGACCTCTGAGGAGCCAAACGTTTTGGGTTTCAGCTTTATCATTTATAATTAGGGACATTAAACTGGATCCATCCCTGGGTGGTGCAAATGGTTAACATATTTGGCTGCTGACTGCAAGACTAGAGCTTCAAGTCCACCTAGAGATGGGTCAGGCCTACTGATCCACTTATGAAAAGTCAGCCGCTGAAAACCCTGTGGAACACAGTTCTTCTCTTATACACGTGGGTTGCCATGAGTCAGAACCTACTTGAAGGCAACAGATTTGTTTTCTTGCTTAGGGCAAGTCCAGTAATAAGCTCTCCAGGTGATCTGATTCACATCAAAGTTGGAGAGAGATTTTTTTTTTTTTTTTTTTAATCCTCTATGAGGTTCTTTCCAACTCTATTACTAGTAAGTTGTCAATAACCAGTTAGGAGCTCTGGTAGTGTAGTGCCTAAGGCACTTGACTGCTAACCAGAAGGCAGGCGGTTCAAACCCACCAGCCACTCCTCGGAAGGAAGGTTGGGCAATCCTACTTCCATAGTGATACTGCCTCGGAAACCCAAGGAGGGGTCGCTATGAGTCGGGACCGACTCGACGGCAAACAACAACAACAACAACAACATGAGGTTCTTTCCAACTCTATTACTAGTAAGTTGTCAATAACTAGTTAGGAGCTCTGGTAGTGTAGTGCCTAAGGCACTTGACTGCTAACCAGAAGGCTGGCGGTTCAAACCCACCAGGCACTCCTAAGAAGGAAGGTTGGGCAATCTACTTCTGTAGTGATACTGCCTCAGAAACCCAAGGAGGGGTTTCTGTGAGTCGGGTCTGACTCCACGGCACATAACAACAACAGTGTCTTAGTTATCTATTGCTGCTCTAACAGAAATACTAAAAGTAGATAGCTTTAACAACAGAACTTCAGTCTGTCACAGTTTAGGAGGCTAGATGTCCAAATTCAGGGTGCCAGCTCTAGGAGAAGGCTTTCTCTCTTTGTTGGCTCCAGGGGAAGGTCCTTGTCTCCTTACAAAATTTATGGACCTAGGGTTCCTTGGAGATCTCAATGTGTCTTGGCATTCTTCCCCTGGTCTAGGAGATTGTCAGTGCAGGGTCCAATATTTTGGGCGGACACAATTCAATCCATGACAAGTGAGATGACTAAATGTGAGGTGGAGAGGTTTGTAAGATAAAAGGTGATGCAGGCCATATCCCAGGGAAAACACCCTTTACATTGGATTAGGGCTGTGAACTGAGTGTGAGGGTGTTGCATCTCACCCTAATCCGTTTACAATTGATTGGCTGATCACATCAGATCACATCATGGGGAATGATTACATCATTACAAAACTGCCAAATTGCATCATTACATAACTGCCAAACCACTGAGAATCATGGCCCAGCCAAGTAAACATATTTTTTTTTAGGAAACAATTCAATACATGACAAATAGTGTAAATCAGAATCACTTGAAGAGTTTCTGATTCGGTAGTTCAGGAGTAGAGCTGGATAACTTTCATTTACAAGTTCCTAGGCAATGCTGCTTCTGCTCATCGTAGGACCTTACTTTAAGAACCAGAAAACCCCCCAAAAAATCCACTGCCAAAGAGTCAATCCAACTCTTGGCAATAAATCTTTAAGGAAGTAGACTGTCCCATCTTCTTTCCACAGAGTGGCTGGTGGGTTTGAACCGCTAATCTTCGGGTTGGCATTCAAATGCTTTAGGCACTGAGCCACCAGACTCTAGATTTCTAGTAGGGCTTTGAACTGGTTCATTCGGGTTTGATCCCTTGCTGTGAACTTACATTTCCACCCTAGATATACTGAATCAGAGTCTCCATTTTAAGAAGATCCCCAGGTGATTCTTATGTATAAATTCTCAGCAGGGGGTTCAACTGGGATGAATCAATTTAAAGCCCTGATTTTTAGGGCCTAGATCTTAAAATTAAAAGGAGCTCTGATGGCATAATGGGTAAGTTATTTGGCTGCTGACCAGAAGGTAGATGGTTCTAAACCCACCAGCAGCTTCATAGGAGGAAGATGAAGCAGTTTACTTCCATAAAGATTTACAGCCTTGGAAACTCAATGGGGTCACTATAAATTGGAATTGACTTGATGGCAGTGGGTTTTTTTTTTTTTTTTTTTTTTTTTTCTTTCTTGAAACTAGGCAGCCTATTCTTCTATAGGTTGCATCTAAGTGTTTTGGGAAAAAAAAATTAGCCAAAGTTTGAGTCTCTGTAATTATCATCATTGATCTTTGTTTTGCCTTTGGAAAAACACTAAGTAATCTCTTTCCAGAGTTGAAAGAGGACTCAGAGTTTTTCCATTCCTAATCCTCCATGGAGGAATCCCATCTACACACTTTGGATACATGGTCCATTACCCACTGCCTGCCGGAGCTTTTAGTAATAGGAGGCTTATATAGGCATGGTTCTGATTTAAGAACTAGGGACTTGTCTGTCTCCCTTCTGGAGGAAACACAGTTCTCTCAGGAATTATACCCTTGTCCTGAGAAGTACATGTCAGTATCTGGAAGCTTAGTTCGAGGGTTTATTTAAGTTGGGACCACCAGTCCATACAGAAAGGGCTCGGAGCACTTTAGATGTAGAGGGAATTCACACATGAGCTGAGAAGGGGATTTCTCCTTTCTTTCCCCTTTTAAGTTCCCTGTGTGGCACAAATGTTGCACTTGACTGCTACCGTAAAGGTTGGCAGTTTTAACTTATCCAGCAGTGCCACTGAAGAAAGGTCTGGCAATCTACTTTCATGAAGATTACAGTCAAGAAAACCGTATGGAGTAGTTCTACTTTGTAACACATGGGGTCGCCATGAGTCAGAATTAACTCAACAGCAACGGGCTTTGTTTGTGTTTTCTGTTGCCCTTGTACCCTCTTTGTTTGCCAAATGCAAGTAACCTGGGTCTGGGATATACAGGCAATCCCTAAGTTATGAACAAGATCAGGTCCTAACTGTGTCTTTAAGAATTTGTAGGTCAGTCAGAACAGGTGCATAAGGTTCTTTTTTAGCGTTATTTTATTGCAAGAAAAGGCTTGAAATCTTGTAAATGATTTAAAAGGTGCATGTGCAGCAAGTGAAAATGATTGTGATGAAGAATTTGTTGTGAGTAGGGGTTGGTTGGATTGTTTCAAAGTGGGGGCAAATTTACATAACATTAAAGGGCAAGTACAGTTGTCAGTAAGTCAGACATTCATAAACCAACTGGGAACTGCCTGTAATTAATCACTTTTCTTCCTGCCTGTTTGATATTTTGGGGCCCTGGAGGTAAATAGAGATGGCAGTCATTTGGGAGTTGACAGGAGGAGAATACCAAGAGCACTGGGTCTGATTCAGAGGCCAGCTCTGTCTCTAATGGGTGGGGAGTCAGCTGTCAACAGCCTGTTGACAGTGCTATCTGGAGGCCTGCATAGGTAAGGGAGACTCATCTCCTGGCAAACATTATCACCTGCCTTTGTCCTAGGTTCTTTCCTTGCCCCTTGCAACCTTTCCTTCAGTCCCTCAATAATCTTCTGGGTGTCTGCACTGGCAGACCAACAGGATCCAGACTGGGTTTACAGGCAATGTTGGTCTCTGAAACCTAGGGGATTTGATACTTTCCATCTTGAGTCTCCAGGAACATCCCAGCCCTTCTTAAGTTTCCTTCTTGATCTTTTCTTAAATTCCTATAGCCCGAGGCTGTCCTACTTTGACCTCCAAAAAAATATGCTTCCTTACAAATTCTTCTTTTGCAGGTGGCTTCTGTCAGCCTCCTGCAGCTGGGCCAGGAGACTGACAAATTGAAAACCAGAAATCGGGAATCCATTTCTCTGCTCATGCGCTTGGTATGTATCTGGTTTAGGCTGGTCTGGGATAAGAGAGAGGAAGGGCCAGAGGGAAACTCCTCTTTAGGATCTTTGGGCCCTGTCATTGTCATCACGAAAAAGCATGCCTGACCCTCTGGGTCCAATTCTTATATTCTAGTTAACATTCTAGACTTGTCCTGTAATACTAGAGTTTTCTTTCTTTCTTTCTTTTTTTTTTTTTCATTGTGATTTGGGTGAAAATATACAGAGCAAATTCACTTTCCATACAGCAGTTCACATACACTTTGTCTCATGACATTGACCACAATTTACCACAATGCAACAGCTCCCCTCCCACTTCCTCCTGATAATTACCTCTTCCTTGTGTTCATCCCTCCATGCCCTCCTGCCCCCTGAGCTGTCTCCCTGTGCATAAGCAGCCCTTCTTTCTCCCATGATTATTCTCTCCAAGGAGTGTATCTACTTCAGGTAAATGTTCAGTTCACATGCCTGTCTTTTACTTGGCTGGAAGTCACAGGTGTGGGTTCAATTCCAGACCTGATGGGCAGCTAGGGGCCATAGTCTTAGTGGTTCCACCAGGCTTCACTGGACCAGCAAACCTGGTCCCCCCACTTTTTTTCTCCAAATGATTTTGAGTTTTGTCCACATTGTTCTCCCTATCAAGGATCTCCTACATAGATCCCCTTCCAAGTGGTTGATATTGGTAGGTGGGCACCATCTAGTTCTCTGGTCTCATAGTCGTATAGGCTGCAGATTGCATGATGTACCAGTCGCTAGGACTGATTGTATCCATGAATTTTTGGTTTTCTTCATTCTTCTTTTCTCTGGACAAGAAGAGACCCATCATTGTGTCTAGATGGCAGCTTGCAAGCTTTTAAGATCCCAGTCGCTACTTGCCAAAGTAGGAGGTGGAACAATGTTTTGTGTAGTATGTTATGCCAATTGAGCTTGATGTCCCCTGTGACTATGGTCCTGAGCCCACAGGTTCAACTACTCGGTCTCTCTGGGTAGCTGTCTGTGACCAAGCAGTGACTACCACCTTGTCTCTTGTCAGCTCTACTATATACCTGGGAATTCAGATCATACACATAAACTTATAGGACTGTTGTTTTCCAACCCTATACATGTTCTTGGGTACACTCCCTGCTTCATAGACATACCTACTAATTCAGCTGTCCACCCATCTGTCCTCCCATCTATCCACCCATGTACCCATGTTTGCCTTCACTGACAACGCAGTACTGTATATGCAAAAGGGTTCATCTTTGTTGTCTTTACCTCCCATGTACCTCTCTATGTCTTTCTCTTCCTCAATGCCACCATATTGATCACTCATATTTGGTACATTGCCCTTCTCTTCATCCAAATCAGTACTTATCTCTATCTATCTAAGTGTTCCCTCTCCTCCCCTCCTACCCCTGGTAACCAACAAAGAAAATTTCCTTCCATATCTAAACCTTTCCTTAACTTTTACAATAACAGACTAATATAATATTTGTCCTTTTGTAATTGACTTATTTCACTCAGCATAATGTCCTCCAAGTTCATCTATGTTATGCGGTGTTTGCAGATTCTACATTATTCTTTAGTGTTGCATAGTATTCCATTGTGTGTATGTACCATAGTTTGGTTATCTATTCCTCAGTTGATGGACACCTAGGTTGTTTCCATATTTTGGCTATTGTGAATAGTGCTGCGATGAACATGGGTGTGCATATGTCTGTTCTTGTCATGGCTCTCATTTCTTTAGGATATATACCTAGTAAAGGAATGGCTGGGTCAAATGGTATTTCTAATTCCAACTTTTGAAGGAATCGCCATACTGCTTTCCACAATGGTTGTACCATTTTACGTTCCACCAGGAGTGTATGAGAGTCCCAATCTCTCCACAACCTCGCCAGCATTTGTTATTTTCTGTCTTGTTGAACTTTGCTACTAGTGCTGGAGCAAGATCGTATCTCATTGTTGTTTTGATTTGCATCTCTCTTATAGCTAATGATCATGAGCATTTCTTCATATGTTTGTTGGCCCCTTGAATATCGCCCTTGGTGAAGTGTCTATTCATGTCTTCTGCACATTTTTTAATTGTAATCCTAGAGTTTTCAAGAATTTCTCCACAGGAGAATGTCTTCTTGTCGCCCAGCTGAGTGGGCTCCTTTTCCTACAGAATTGTTGAGTCTGATCTAGTGGAACAACTGTCTACCTCATTTGTAACTACCTGTTTAGTACATGTTTGGTTTTACCTGACCTCTCCCTACCACTATATTTCTTATCTTTATGGATACTGTGAACCTCTTCTTCTATGGAAGATCGCTGAGCTGAGTTGAGGTACGGAAGGCAGTGCAAGGGCTCAGAAGAGGGAAGAGATTTTAGCTGAGAAAGCTGTAAGACAGGGAGCCAGGTGGGCCACAAATCAGGCAACTTCTATATCTTCTCCTTTCTTCCCAAGCTGTGGGCTTTCCCATACTTTGGCAGAAAGTTCTGGGACCTCTGACTCAGTTAACTTTTTTTATTTTGAATTGTGATTCAGGTCAAAGTTTACAAAGTAAATTTGCTTTCTATACAGAAGTTCATATACATTTTGTTTCGTGACATTGATCACAATCCCCACAATGTAATGGCTTTCTTCACACTTTCTTCCTGTTTTTACCTTTTCCATGTGTCCTTTCCTATGCATTCCTGCCCTCTGAGCTATCTCCCTGTGTTAATACTGCCCTTCTGATCTCCCATGATGGATTGTTCTGAGGAGTGTACCTGCCTGGTATAAATGTTCACCTTATATGCCTGTCTACTGTTTGGCTGGAAGCCATGGAAGTGAGTTCAATTCTAGGCCCCAAGATTGACTAGGGTCTATAGTCTCAGGGGTTTTACCAGTCTCTATCAGACCAGCAAGCCTGGTCTTTTTTATTATTTTGGGTTTTGTTTCACAGTTTTCTCCCACTCAGTTAACTTTTTAATCTTTCCTCATGACTGTGTTTCCCTCAAACTCACACTTGCTCTACAAGTCTGGTTCAAGTAGGGGTATGTATGGGAGGGGCTCTTGCCCTGGGTCTTGTGTTTAAGAAGCCCTTCTTTGGCTTTTCTTTGGCTCATGGGGAGAGGATATGCCCAGATAGAGTGTGGAAGACCACACTCAAGATATTTGGGGGCCCAGAATTCCTTGCCAAGCATCTCCATCCAGCCTACTAATAGGGCCTATGTGGTGCTTCTTCTCCCATTCCATCCTACCAAGGCAACCTGTGTTACTGGTGGATGTCCTAGTGCCCAGAGTGTCGCTGGAGTTTAGGTATACAGAATACCTAAACTATACAAAGGACAAAGCCCTCAAGGTGGGGGTGGCCACTGAGAGGGGATTGGGCCTGAGTTCCCTCTTTTCATCCTCTTCTGAGAAATCTAAAAGTTTGGAATTCAAACCTGGCCTCCTGTGACATTATAAAATATATTGCAAAGGTAGAAAGATAGGAGATAATAGTTTATTAGCTTAATTTTAATTTAGACCTATGGTATGTGGGTGTGATAGTTAAGTTTGTGTGTCAACTTGGCTGGGCCTGGTTGAATGGCTGGGCCTGATTGAATGGCTGGGCAGCTGGAGGTAGGATTCCCCATGATGAGACTGGTAATGAATGCCATGGTAGAATCTACTGTGAGCAGCTGCCTTATGGATGTGATCTGTTTCCTGTATATAAGGAGAAGCCTTGGGAATGGTCTCTAGCCTATGGCATGATTGGACCCTGCATGTAGCCATGTCATTGTTCAGCAGCCTGCCACGCTCTGCCGACCTTGGAACTTTCAATGGACTTGAATTAATGGCCTGCTGTGTAGTTTGGTAACATTGGGACTGTGCCTTTTTACTTGTCAACCTTGGGCTTGTCAGTCTCAGCAGCCAGCAGAAAAGCCTCTAGCTCCAGTGGGCCGGGAGCAGGAGACAGAGCTGAAGCCCAAGATTGAGGGGGTTTCACCCAGCCCCTAGAGCCTGGCACTTTGAATTTGGACTTAAAGCCTCTAAACTGTAAGAGAATAAATTCCTGTTTCTTCAAGCTATTCCATTTGTGGTATATTCCTGTCAGAGTGGCACTAGGTAACCGAAACAGTAGGTCTCCCTTGACCCAGGACCACAGATGATAGGGGTGGGATATCTGGGACTCCCTTCAGGTCTCCCTCTGAATACACAGACACCAATGTGGTATGGATGCCTCAGTTTCTCCAGCTAGAAAAAGGCCTCCATTGTGCTGTTTAAAGATTATAATGGAGAAGGGAATGGAAATGAGGGGGTATGTATGTGTATTATGTGTGGTGGGTGTGGATGAAGGTAGAGGGAGGGCAAATGCCAGCAGTGTGTCACATAGAGCAGAATCTTTGGAGCAGCATGACCTTGGGCAAGTTAATTAATCTTTCTCAGTCTCTGATTCTTCTGTTAGTCTATACTATTAAACCAGGTAATGATCCTTATGAGTGGTTAGGATTCATGAGATAATATATGTGAAAGTGCTTAGTACATAGTAGGTGCTCAACAAATGCCAGTTCCCTGTCACTCCTGCTCACTTTAGTTTCTGGATGATTTAGATGTGCTGCTTCATTCCCTCTGGCGTTTTCCACCTCTGTAAGATAGGAGGCGATTGTATCTTGCCCACAGCCCTGCCTTCTTCTGCTTTACCCTACTGTCGCCACCCTGAAATTGTGGGAAGAGGCTTTCCCCTTGTGGCCTAACAGGGAGGCCAGAAAATTGGCAGGAACAGAGCTAGTATCAGGGGGAGGCAGGGGGGACTAGCTGCTGTAAAGCTATTTAAATGCAAATGTTTCCACAGAGATATTGGAAATGACTGAAGGGAAGAGCTGTATTCTGAGTTAAGAGGCTACTCATGTAGCCCCAAATCCTGGCTGGGTACTTCTCCCCTTGGGTTCTTTCTGTCTTGGCTGTCAAGCCTTGGCAGTGCCCACTCCCAGTCTTGCCAACCTGTGCCTGGCATGGATTTCATGGGGGAAGAGATGACTCTCTGATAGAATCATGGAATTCCAGATTGTCAGAACCAGATTACGTCCTGGCAATTAGTCCAGTCCTTCCAATTTTTGGGTGAGGAAATTGAGGAAGAGGGAGGGAAAGATGACACTTGATAATCTCCCCTAAAATATATGGGAAGATTTCAGACTGGAACCTGTTTCTGGCTTTCACTCTAAGGCTGTTTGTTTCCACTACCTTGAACTTTCTCTATTTAACTAGAATCAGTGCTGTCAAGTCGATTCTGACACATGACAACCCCATTTGTGTCAGAGTAGAACTGCAGAAAGTAGATTGCCAGACCTTTCTTCTGAGGTGCCTCTGGGTGGACGCAAACCTCCAACCTTTTGAAGCCTGTTCTCCCCCCGCCCCCCGACTTAGTGAAGAATATACTTGGTTCAGTGAATTCTTCCTGAAGTCATCACCCATTTTCCTGTCCTGAGGGTAGTATACTGGAAAAGAGATCATATCTCTCTCCTGGCTCTCAGAGTTTGAAAACCTTGCCTAGTAAGGAATTCTGTCATCAAACCTAAGATCACGTCTTGAGTTTTACAGATAGGTTCATTTCCTTCAGCTTGTACTATCTGCTCTTCTCAAGCTGTGATGTGCATTATGTATGCATGTACTTGGGAATAAAAGAATCTTACAAATCTGAAAACTTGAAAGACCTTCAGAGGAAGAAACACGTTAGAGTGATAGGGTAGTTTCTCTTTCATTAGTGCTTTTTCAGGACTTGAAATAACCAGACATTTTGGGGAGGGCCCATCTGTGTGTATTGCCAGAGGATATGGGACACTTCTTTCCAGAGTGTGCTTTTTTTTTTTTTTAGGATTTGGGTGAAGATTTACAGAGTAATTTATTTATTTATTTATTTTTTAATTAGGATTTGGGTGAAGATTTACAGAGTAAATTCACTTTTCATACAGCAGTTCACATATACTTTGTCTCATGTCATTGACCAAAATTTACAATGCAGCAGCTCCCCTCCCACTTCCTCCCCATAGTTACCTCCTCCCACAGAGTGTGCTTTTTAAGTCCTACAACCTTTAGATAATGAGGGTGCTGAATGGAAATACACTCTGTTCCCTCCTCAGGGATGAGGACCCTCCAGTCCAACACTAAGCTGTGCTGCTCTTCCTGAACTCCCCCCCTCCTCCTGCCACCCTGCTCTCAGTCTTATCCAGGCATCAGATCTTTCTGCTTGGCTGTGGGGGCTGCTGGGACTACCATAGCATGCAGGCTTCTAATTAAACTAATTAATCATGCCTGCTCCTTTATGCAGCATCCTTATTGTTCCCTGAGCACTGTACTGAGAGAGGGAGGGGACTGAGGCCCAGCCCAAGAGGACTTGGGTAGGTGTCAGGCCCTTCTTCCTTGACTGGTAGTGGTGATTGTTTTCCTCTCTGCAAAGCTTTGTAATTAGCACTTTTATCCATTCCTACCTGCATTTGTGCTGCCCACGTACATATAACTTAGCACCCAGATGGGAGAGAATGGGGCTTATTCTGGTACTAGGGAAGTGATTCTTTGCTGCCACCTGTTTCTGAGCCCTTCACATAGCCCTGAGGAGGGGGATGGGGGCCATTATAATGGAGCTGGAGAGGCCACCTTGCCTTTGTAGAACCAAACCAAATGAGGGAAGAAGCGGGGAGTATGATTCGGAATGCTGTTCACTTGTAGCTCTAAGGACCTCTGAGAACCCCAGGAGCTCAGGAGGGACAGGGAGTCACAGAGGTATGCCCTACCTGATATTCTCATCTCTTGGCACTGTCTCTTCTAGGTGGTGGAGGAGTCATCCTTCCTGACCCTGGACATGCTGGAGTCCTGTTTCCCTTATGTCCTGCTTCGAAACGCCTATCGGGAGGTTTCCCGGGCCTTCCACCTGAACCGGGTGGCTGCCAGTACACACTGAAACCCATGCCATGGTGGAAGCTGTGGCCATCTTTTCAAGGGGTGGGAATGGGGATGGGGTCACTGGCGAGAGGCTCAGAGCCAGAGCAGATGAATAGGCATATAACAGGCATACAGAGGAACAAGTCAGATTGCTGTGAGAAATCACAGAGAAGTGGGGCAGGCTTGGGGGAAGTTTACAGCAGAAAATAGAAGGGGACTGGGGCCACATATATGAATTTTTACAATGAAAAATAAGCAATCTACCAGTATGTTTTCCATCTTCTGGTGTCTAGAGCATGAGCTCTGACTGGCATGGGTCTCTCCGACCTTCATCACTATTCTAGGATGATGCTGGCGGGCAGAGATGATCAATCATCATATTAAACCATAATGAGCTTATAATCCTCCCACTGGAGCTGCTATTGTCTCCTGCACATTCATTAGAACGATTATTTCCTCTCTTCCTTTTCCAAATGGGTTCAGCAGACATTCAGCCTGCTCCCACTGCAGACTAGTAGCAAAGGAACCCTTCTTTTCCTTTATGGGGACTTTAGAAGTCATTGAGTCTCTTCCTCTGCCATAGGAAGTGCTTTTTAGAGATTTTCACTGCCCCCAATTCCCCCCACCTGCTCTACTGCACATTGTGGGTAATGAGTAAGTTCTCACATTTTTTTAACTTTAATCCCTCATGCTTTTTCCTGGATAACCCAGAGCAGAAGGTCAGTCTAGGTCAATTCTAGGTTTTAGGACAACTCACTGGCCCAGAGTCATGTGGGTTTTCCTTCCAATACCATTTTGGGGTACTTTCCTTCCTACCTGGAGGAACTCATTTTACCCCAGATCCCCTTGACAGGCTGAGTACAGCTGTTGCTTCAGGCAGGGATTTTGCTTCTAGATCTTAAATTTCACAGACCTCATTAGGTTGTAACGCCCCAAGACTGGATATCCTTGAGGGAGTACAAGCTGTTTTAACTTAGCCCTTTTCTACACTAATTAGAATTTCAAGTGTCACAAAGGCCAGGGCATTCAAGACAGCACTAAACTAGGTTTAGTTAACTCCATGGCAGCAAACAGTGGCCCCCATCCATCACGTCTGTGCACCCACTACTAGGGAGGACTGCAGCAATATATCATATATGTCACAGGTCTAGAATGGCTGAAATGGGCAAATATAATTAGCTAGTTGATTAATTAGGGTCATGTCCATACTTTTATGATGAAAGGAAAGCAATTGTTTTTGGCAAAACCATCTGACCTTTATTAAAGCTATTTGATAGCTGTTTTTCAATGTTGTAGGTATGTTTGATCTTTATTTTTCTTGTTTCTCAGTAGAGACCCAGGCTCAGTTAATACTTGCTTAACTCGGCACCCATAACCAACACACAAGTTTTTTCTCTTTTAATTTTTATGTGATTTGAGTGAGAGTTTACAGAGCAAATTCATTTTCCATACAGCCGTTCATGCACATTTTGTTTCATGACATTGACTGTAATTCCCCACAATAATTGTCTCCCCACTTCTTCCCTATAGTTACCTCTTCCCTGTGTGTCCCTCCCTCCCATGCACTACCCCCAACCCAGCTGTCTCCCTGTGCAAACATTGCCTTTCTGTTCTCCCATGATTGATTGCTCCAAGGAGTGTAACTACTTGATGTAAATGTTCACCCCATATGCCTGTCTGTTGTTGGACTAGAAGGCACAGGAGTGAGTTCAGTTACCTGAGGGGTAACTAGAGGCCATAGTTTCAGAGCTTTATCATCAGGCTCTATCAGACCAGGAAACCTGCCTTTTTTTAAAAAATTTATTTTTATGATTTTGACTTTTGTTCCACATTGCTCTCCCGCTCTATCCAGGATCTTCTGCATCAATCCCCTCTGAGTGGTTGACAGTGGTAGCCGGGTACCATCTAGTTTTGGTCTCATGGTCATATAGGCTGAGGATCGCATGGTCTGCTACTCCCTTGGACTAATTATTTCCATGCATCTTTGGTTTTCTTCATTCTTTGTTGTGGATGAGGAGAGACCCATCATTGCATCTGGATGGCTGCTTGGAAGCTTTTAAGACCCCAGTCACTACTCACCAAAGTAGGATGTAGAACAATGTTTTTGTGTAGTGTGTTATGCCAATTAAGCTCGATGTCCCCTGCGACCATGGTCCCACGTCCACAGGCCCAACTCCTTGCTCCCTCAGGGTAGCTTGCTGTGGTCAAGAAGCCACCACAACCCTGTCCCTTGTCAGTTCTACTATACACCTGGACATTCTTATAGCACTTACAAATACACATGTAGAAACATCGTCTGCCAATCCTATACATGGTCATGGGCACACTCTCCCCATGCCTAGACATAACCTGATCATTCAGCCTGTCCACCTATCTGTCTACCTGTAGATCAATACTTGTTATCACTGACAGTGCAGTAGTGTACATGCAAAAGGTTTCATCTTTGTTTTCTGTACCTTCCATGTACCTCTCTGTCTTTGTCTTCCTCAGTGTCACTGTCAACACAAGAGCTTTTTCTTAACAACTGTCTCCTCTTCAGGATAGATACAACAGAAGATTCTGCTTCATGCATCAGCTAATTGCCATGGAAGGGCATTACATTCTAAGGAGTGATTCAGGGTCAAGCCTGTTGTGCACTGTGAAGTTTATTCTGACTTAGTAGAACTGTCCACTGCCCCATAGAGTTTCCTAGGCTGAAATCTTTATGGGAGGAGATTGTCAGGTCTTTTCTGCCAAAGAGTGCCTGGTGGGACCTTTCAGCCTTTCAGTTAGCAGCCAAGTGCCTAACCATTGCACCACCAGGGCTTCTTAGGGTCAAGCTGCCGAGTCAGTGGTAGTTGATGAGGAAGAAAAGACTCAGAATATCAGAGGTGAAGTAACCAAGTAACCAACCCTTGTACCTTTTCTGGGTTCTTTTTTTTTTTATTAGGATTTGGGTGAAGATTTACAGAGTACATTCACTTTTCATACAGCAGTTCACATATACTTTGTCTCATGTCATTGACCAAAATTTACAATGCAGCAGCTCCCCTCCCACTTCCTCCCCATAGTTACCTCTTCCCAATGTCCATCCCTTCATACTCTTCTGCACCCTGAGCTATCTCCCTGTGCATAAGCAGCCCTTCCTTCTCCCATGATTGTTCTCTCCAGGGCGTGTGTCTACTTGAGGTAAATGTTTAACTCACATGCCTGTACTTTGTTTGGCTGGAAACCACAGTTGTGGGTTCAATTCCAGACCTGAAGGGCAGCTAGGGGCCATAGTCTCAGTGGTTACACCAAACCTGGCCCCCACCTTTTTTTTTTTTTTTGCCTCCAAATGATTTTGAGTTTTGTACCACATTGTTCTCCCTCTTTATGCAGGATCTCCTACATCTTTTCTGGGTTCTTGAGGGAATGAAGATCCATTTCCATCTGCATGACCTGGTTAAAAGGAATCTCCTAGAGAACAGCAGGACATGTTGCTGCAGGAAGACAGAGAGTAGACATAGTATCTATTTTTTTTCAAATTGAAAATTGTGTTGGGATAATTGATTGACATGCACCTGTGAAAAACAGTACAGGAGATCTCATGTACCCATTACCAGTTTTCTCCATTGGTAACATCTTGTAAAACTATAATATCACAACCAGGATGTTTACATTGATAAAACCCACTGGTCTTATTCAGATTTCCCCAATTTTTCTTGTTTTAAAAGAAAAGAAGTGTATTTAGTTCTATGCAACTTTATTGCATGCATAGGTTTGTGTATCTGCCACCACAGTCAAGGTACAGAACAGCCCCATCACCACAAAGATCTCTCATGTTTTATAACCACACCCACCTCCTTAATGCACCATCCTACTCCCCATTCCTAACCCCTGGCAACACTGATCTGTTCTCCATTTCTAACATTTTGTCATTTGATATAATGTCTCTTTAGAAACATATAATTATACACATATTTATCATCCATACTTTTTCAAAGCACTTTTGCATTCTCATAATTCTGCAAGGGCAGACTTCCCTATTGTCAGGTCAGGAAATAGATTTAGCTATGTTAAATAATTTAATGAAGCTCACATATTTAGCAGTAGAACTGCAACAAGGACCAAAGTCTGATGTTCAGTCCTAGACAATGTCTACCTGAATGTACTTCCTCTCCATGTGGGAAAACTTCGTTGTTAGAATTCAGAGACCTTGCTAGAATGAGCAAATGGGAGAAAGGACATGATGTTACCAAAAAACAAAAGAGGAATGCCTAACTAGAAGTGAAAGAAAAGGTGAAGTAACCAAAACCAACCCAACCCTCTGTCATCGAGTTGATTCCAACTCATAATGACCCTTTTCAGGACAGAGTAGAACTGCCCCACAGGGTTTCCAAGGCTGTAAATAATGAAATAATTAGACTGCCTCATCTTTCTCCTGTGGAGCAGCTGGTGGGTTTGAACCACCGACCTTTATGGTTAGCAGCCTAATGCTTTAACCACTGAGCCACCAGAGCTACTGATGAGGTAACAGGAACCATTAATATTTCAGGCAATTTGCTTCCATGAGTAGGAGGGTCTTTGACCTCTTATAACCTGGGCCATAATCAACTATGAACTGCTTTCTGTTCTCAGCTAGTTTTATTCAGGTCCAAAAAGAACAGAGGAATAACTATCAGGGAGAAATTCCAACCTCAATTGTTTGGTCTTGCAGGCAGAGAGTAGTTTCTAGTCTCAGCATTTTCATTAGCACAGTGTTTTCATTAAAATCTCCATTAACTTGTTTGCTGCAATGAGATGGAATTATCCCTCCCACCAGGCCTGGGGCGAGATGCTTGCAGAGGCGCTCTGTTGCCTTTGGCCAGCAGAAACACTGCCTCCCTGCCCAGCGGTGTAACTTGGAGAGTGTGGGGAAGGCGAGATGCACTGGGTGGCACTGTCAGAGATGGTGACGCCAAATGGCTATAAAATTTTTGTGCAGTGTTGCAGCAGAAATTTATTTTTTATAAAAATATCCCTGTGGTTTAACAATAAAAACGTTTTTCATAAGCCCAGCTTACATGTATCAATACACCTACAAGACTAAAACTCTATGCTAATTTACTTTTTGAACTCTTCTAATGCACTCTGGTCAGAGCTGTCATTATTATCCAATTACAATGATGCTTCAAATTACATGGTTTGAGAAGCTGGCACATGGTTGAAATGCACTCATGTGTCAGATTTTCTGGTGTTTTAGCTATAATATTGTGGTAATTAGTATTTTTGAATCTCTATCAATAGCTTTCTTTGAGAATGAAATAGTAATTAAAAGAAAAGGAGAAAAATCAAGAGAGTCTTCTGCTCAGTTACTAATGTTATAATTCAATGTTGAAAAATTTTACAAAACAATTTAAAAAATTATATAATCTAAGAAATATTACATCTAAGCAATTTATAGGAGCTCTGGTAGCATAGTGCCTAAGGCACTTGACTGCTAACCAGAGGCTGGTGGTTCAAACCTACCAGCCACTCCTCGGAAGGAAGGTTGGGCAATCTACTTCCATAGTGATACTGCCTCGGAAACACAAGGAGGGGTCTCTATGAGTTGGATCTGACTTGATGGCACATAACAACAACAACAACAAGCAATTTATAACTATAGGTATCACATATTATTCTATGATTAAAATTGATAATAAACATTACTTAGTATTCTGTATGGTCTGATATGGGAGGAGGTCCATGATGTATGTGTGTGTGTGTATGTGTGAGAGAGAGAGAGAGATAGAGATAGAGAGAGAGAGAGAGAGAGACACCATGAGCTACCACACCGGATGATACTGATTCTAGTGATGCCACTGTCCCTGATGATGGTGTCCAGTTCATTGGGCAGGTAAGGGCAACCTCAAAGTGCAGTAGGGCTGGGTCTAGCACTTCGCTTGAAAGGAGCAACTGTGGTTTGAATCCCAGGACCCAGGGTTAATGGCCAGATCTGAGGGAGGGGGTAATCTAAATTCATTTGCTGGAGGGAGGCCAAAAGCCAATAACCTATCTGTTGAACTAGTCATTTAATATTTCCCTTTTTACCCCCAGAGCTCAACGTTGCCTTTGGGAATTATTAGAATTCCAGAGTTGTAAAATGTTACAGCAGAAAGAGAGCTTTGAGATTTAGTTCAATCACCTCATTTTACAAAAGAAGTTGACAGGTACAGAGAAGTGAAGTAAAATGGCTTATCCAGGTTCACACAGTTAATGGCAGAATCAAGACTAGGCCTTTTATTATTTAACTTCCATTATTTATACCACATTATTAGAAGATATCATTTATAGTCAGTTCAAGGGCACTGAGAATACTATACTTAGGCCCTAGTTTAGCAACTTGATAGGCAAGCTCATTCAGTTTGGGGATTTGATTGAGGTTCAAGTGGGATCTGTGGAGATGTTGGAGTGGGGAAGGGGGAAGGTCCTAGCTAGGAACCAAACCAAACCAGTTGTTGTTGAGTCTATTCTGACTCATGGCAACCCAATGTGTTCCACAGTAGAACTGTGCTCCATGGGGTTTTCAATGGCAACGATCTTTTGAAAGGTCACCAGGCCTTCCTTCCAAGGTGCCTCTGGGTGGACTTGACTCACCAACCTTTCAGTTAGCAGCTTAACCATTTGCACCATCCAAGTAACCCCAGCTAGGGACAAGTCTTCTTTAATCTTCCGTCCTCATGCCTTTGTCAGTTCTTCTCCAACAAAGTTTGACTTTGAGAGGAAGCTGGCACATGGTTGAAATGCACTCACGTGGTTGGGGGAAGACTGTTCTAGTCCTCCTCCCCACAAGGCCTCCTGCTTCTCTTTAAGTACCTGTCATAAAAGGAGATGAAGATGAATCCCCTCTCAGCCCCCACACCTCAATGAGTTGTCAAGTGCTCTCCCTCCCACCTGAATAGGAAGCAGGAACAGCAGGCCAGGTTGCAGGTTGAGGAAGTCAGAAGTGAACTTGAGCTGAGTTTGCAGCTCTGGAGAGACTGAGGAGCAGGCTTTTCTCTTGTCACTTTGGAAGGAGAGGATTGTGAGGCCGCCCCTTTAAATAGCATTTCCGTAGGAGGCAGATCACATCCATCCGTCACTTGCTGCCAAAGCATCATTTTTGGTCTCTATCAAACTCAAAACTTGTTGGAAAGGATTATGGGGGTAGGGGAGTGAGAAGGCAGGGTCTCAAGGAGGCAGGGAGCAGCTCAGAAGCTAAAAAGGAAAGGACTGATATTGGGAGAAGGATGCTGGAAAAAGTGGGGGTGGGAAACGAGGAAGAGACAGGAAGAGAAAGAGTAGCAGTCTTGAGCCTATGAATGGAACAGCATTAGGCTGCTAACCACTGTTCTTACCACTTTAGAAGTGGGGTAAGGCAGAAATGGGATTAAATTGCAACAAGAGAAATAAGGTTGAGGTTAAATGCCAGGACTAGTGACTGAAAAGGAAAGAGAGCCACATAGTGGAAAAGGTACTGAAAAAAGGTTGGGAGACTTGGCTTTGGATTTTTTTTCTGGGCTTATTTTCCCATTTGTTATACAAAGGGGACTGGACTAGATGGACTTTAAAATCTGTTTCAGGTTTAACTTTTTTTTTTGTTGTAAATTTCCCTTTTCTTAAAATGGGTTAGGAGTTGGAGGCATGGAAGGGCAGGGGTGGTGGTATGCTACTATATTGACAAGAAATATTGAGAGATACATCTGCCTCTTTGCCACCTCTTCTAGTTTAAATACTTGCTTAAACTGGGAAAGGAAATCTAGTGGCACAGTGGTTAAGACATTTTACTGCTAAACAAAAAGTTGGCAGTTTGAACCCACCAGCACTTTGCAGGAGAAAGATGAGGCAGTCTGCTTCCTTGGAAACCCCTACTTTGTCCTAGGGGGTCACTATGAGTAGGAATTGACTCAATGGCAGTAGGGTTGGTTTTGGTTTTGATTAAATTGGGAAGCTCTTTAGTTCTCATTCTAATTTCCTAATTAGAGCTATTTAGTTTTAATCCTAATTTGCTATTCTTTTGTAGTCTAACCAGCCCATTCCTTTTTCAGTTGATAAGAGATGAGATTGCTCCCAGATTTTGAGAATTAGATTGTGAGGGAGTGTGACTAGGGTTGCCCATGCAGCTATTTCTTGGCATGAACTTTTTCTCTGGCAAGGAAGGGGAAGGGGGATGTGTGCTGAAGTTAGATGCATAGAGACGGGAAGTCCCAGTATTCTTTTCACTTTTTTTCTCCATCTCTGACTTCCCATCTCCTTCTGCCTCTTTACTTCTTGGGAGCTGCTTCTGCTGACACTTCTATCCCGCCAAATCTAAAAGCCTGACCTAACTTGAAATTCTTTTATGTTTGGCATCTCAGTGGTGATAAGCTGTCTTGTTCTCCACTCTACCACTTCACTTCTTTTCTCCTCCATTGCCAGGGCAAAGGGCCTCTACCAGATATTTAGAGTAAATACTTTCTCCTGATCATCCTTCCTTCCAACCTATAGAGTTCTTGAAATTAAAATTTACATTCTGGGATTCTGTATCAGTGGCCTGGATCAGTGGATCCAGCAGTTACATATGTGAATACATACATCCACACCTTCTGTTTACATAGGATTTTCCCCAATGCCAAAGTATAAGTGGCCATTAAGAAGGAGAATAATCCTGAGGAAGACAGGTGGTTTCTGCAAGACTCCCAGGTAGGACTCAGTTGGATGGAAGAGGTTTTGCTTTGTTTCAAGGTCTTGAGTTAAAATCTGAGCTCATTTTTTTTTTTCCCATAAATACATATTAAACAGCTAGGCTATTTTGTCTTGGGCCTTTAGCTCCTAGATTTCTTTCAGTGAAGTTGGGTAAGAGGAAATGAGCTGGAATGGTGGTGCAGGAGGGACTGAGATGAGTATCAGGAATGATTTCATGGTTGTTTGGAGTCTTCAGTAGTCAATGATGGTGTGGTACTGTCTGACCTGGAGAGGTTTGAACTTGGGAGACACTCCCCCCCTCCAGAGGTGTAGTTACAGGCATCCTGAAGCAGGCTAGAGTAACAGTCAGAACTTTTCCCTTCAAAGACAAGAACTCAGGTGTGAGGGCCTGGCCTGAGGCTGGATTCACTCAGCCAGAGTGCCTAGATTCACCAGGGAGGTATCTGGGCTCATCCTTACCCCTCCCTCACACGTGGGATACACACACAGGTAGTCACACGTGGATACATGAAACTGCTCACACATACAAGGAGACTCAAAACGCACACCAAGTGAACCCACAGAACCGCACACCCTGAGGTCCTGAGCGCCGCCTGCCCTGCACTCCGTAAGCAGGCACTCAACACACACCCGGGCGGAGCACACGCAGCCACTTACACCGGGCGCCTGTGTGCGTTCGCTCGCCCTTGGGCTTTCCTGTCTGTGTGTGCCCCCGGCTTCGAACCGTTCCTTTGGGAGAGGGAGGAGAGGCTGCTAGGAGCGAGAGACCGACGGGCGGGCAGAAGAGAAGAAGGGAGGGGAAACGAGGGGGGGACCTGGCCGGGGGAGGAGGGTAGAGGCGAGGAGGCGGCTCTGGCAGCGCGCGGCGGCGGCGGCGGCAGCAGCGGCAGCGGCAGTGGCGGCGTAGAGAGCTCGGACTAGAAGCCCAAAGCTTGGCTGGGCAGCGGGAGAGGAGGATCCGCAGAACTGCAGCTCTGCCAGCTTGGGCCGAGCCTAGAGACACCAGCCTGGCTAGTCCACGCCAGCCGCAGGTGGGAAAGGACCGGAATGTGGGTGAGGGTCTCCGGTTAGGGGCCGAGGCTCAGCCGCGGTCCTGTCTCTTCCTTCTGTTCCGCAGACCGAGGCTGAGCATGGAGCTATCTCCCCGCAGCCCTCCCGAGATGCTGGAGTCGGATTGCCCGTCGCCCCTGGAGCTGAAGTCAGCCCCCAGCAAGAAGATGTGGATTAAGCTTCGGTCTCTGTGAGTCCCCGACCAGGGAGTTGGGGGAAGGGACCTTAGGGAGCTATGGGGGGGGGGGAGGGTAGTCAGAGCGGGCTGCTGGATTCTCTTAGGCACACATACAGGCAGGTGCGAGGAAACACGGCCATGATACGCATGGCCAGGCCACATGTGCAAGACATGTGCGGAGCAAGCCGGCTGTTTGGAGGGGGCTTAGGAGTTTCAAAGCTAGCGGTGTGCCTGTGAACCCCTGGGTGACACACGCAGCGGAAAGGCAGCACAGTAAGTGCGGTGTGGTAGGGCTGCAGATGGGCAGCATTCAGGAGGTGCCAGGGTGACTCACACGTATCCATGTGTGCAGGATTGTGCAGATGTGAGACATATCACATGTGTGTGCATGAGTGTCTGTGGGTCACAGATGCGTGGAGAGTGATTGCACCCAGCTGCAGACCCAGTGCAAGGGGTTACTTGTGCCAACCTGTGGGCAGTATGCATTTCAGTTGGGATTGGTAGTTTCTATCTCCTGCAGCTGACAGAGAGTGGGGGTGGGGGCCCATACCTGAGATGCTCATCTCTCCTGAGGCCTGGAAATGCACTCTGCATATTAACAATAGGGGATCACCTGGGAGCTGGAACTGGGGGTGGAGGTGAAGAAAGATTGATTGATGGGCAAGATAACTGGCTTAGTCAAAGCCTTTTTGTTTATATAGAGTCTCCCAGGATCTCCAAGCACATTTAGGCATCTTTTCTTATTGTTGCAGGACCAGGGCATGTGGGGAGGAGTAAATGGGAAAAGGAAGGACTCAGATGTCCCATATTCTGGTCCAGTGGGGTAAGGAGGAACTTTTCTTCCTGCTCCTTAGAGAAAGGAGAGGATTGGGTCAAAGATAAGACTGAGAGGTGTTTCCTCTCAGTCAGTTACCATTGGGTAATTTCTGCAGTCTGTTGATTCTTAATCAGAAAGCAAGGGAAAGTGTCCCTTTCCTTGAGATGACTCCCCACGGCCCCAGGAAGGAGGCAATGGATGGGAGAGTATGGATGTTAAGTGAGGAGATACAGTAAACTTAGTCACTGAATCTGTTTCTTCTCCAGTCTCCTCAGTAGTTAGCACTGAAGCTTTCAATTTCTGGATTCTGGGGGAGGGGGAGATGGGGGAAGGGATGTATAGTTGCCCATGATTGTGTTGTTCTTTAAATACTTCACTTGTGGCAATAAGATGACGCCTTTATATTGGGCAGGTGGGTCTGATTTATACACTAGCTGCTTGGAGAGGTCTCAGGGAGAACTGAGGTACAGTGGGCAGCAAGGCTGGGAATCCGAATGTGTTTCTCAGTTCTCCCTCGCTGCCTCTAGCCAATGCAATTTAATGGGCTCTATGAAGCGCAGCTTTGGAATGAATTCTGGGATGAAGAAATGGAAAATCGGATTGAACTGATTTTTGTTGGGAGGAGCACTGAGGGATTCTTGATGGTCAGTGATACTCTGTTAATAGTAACTAAGCTGGGAAGATGGGCAGGTAAGGAAGTGGTTGAAAGCCAAAGAAGGGACCTCAGAGTCTAGAATTAGGAGAATCCAAGGTGTCAGAATGGCTGCTTCATAGCATTAATAGGTCATCATTTACTGCCCTTGTTTCCATTCCACATAACCAGGCTTAAAAAAGTGAGTTTTACCAGTTTCACTATTTCCCACACCTTGTTGTTGTTGTTATGTGCTGTCAAGTCAGCCCTGACTCATAGCGACCCCTCCTTGGGTTTCCGAGGCAGTATCACTACGGAAGTAGATTGCCCAACCTTCCTTCCGAGGAGTGGCTGGTGGGTTTGAACCCCTGGCCTTCTGGTGAGCAGTCAAGTGCCTTAGGCACTATGCTACCAGAGCTTCCACAACTTACCAAAAGTCTTTCCTGAAAATGAATTGTGATTTCTTCCTTTAGAGTGAGAAGTGCTTAGTGGTGAGAGAAGAGGATCCCCAGAAGGAAGCATTGAAACCTGGAGAGAGAGGGGCATAGAGGCACTGCTCCTACAGAGTGTGTTAGCTAAGATGTCCTTACGTGAGATTAAGGTGGACAAGGATCACTAATGCTGTTGATTTGATTATTCTGGTCTTCACTCACTCCAGCAGTCTGGTCCTTAAGAATGCTAGGTTCATGTAATAACTTATCCAGAAAAGTATCATCTCCTGATTCTTAATCACCAGGAAGAGATTTATTTCCAAGCCCTCTTTTTCAAATCAGAGAAAGATCTTGATATCAAGGTAGATCCCAAGTTGATGGCTCTGTTTGAATACTGGGGAGATTTTGACACTTGGCTAAAAGGAAATAAAAGAATTTCAGAGTTTTCATGGGTAGGAGAGAGAAACTCCCCAACTCTTAGGATTGGGTGGTATCTGATGAGGGGGGCAAAAGAGGGGCTCCTTCTTTTAAAATGAAAATAGAACACCCCTCACCCCCACCACATGATCCCCTGTCCCCAAATAGTCCTGGAAAGGGGTTGTTTAGTCTGGATATAGGAGGGTGGACATGATTATCTCAGGACTGGGCACCAAATGGAAATGAGGACAGATGGATTTTATATATATACACATACATATCTTGGTTCCCTACCCAACACATCCTAGTTTTCCCTTCTACCCTTTTAATTTTTAATCTAGGACATCTAGACTTTTTTCAGGGAAGCGGGATCTGGTGTTTTTACGTCCAGAAAATCCACACTAATATAATTGTACAGGGCAGTTTCTTGTTGGGAAGGGCATCCAGGAATTCTGTTTCCCACACTAGGACCCTGCCAGGATAAATTTAGGATATGGAGTAGATAAGAGAAAGTATAAGCTGGAGAGAGTTTCTACTGTGGCATTTCACCTCTATGTAAGAGGAAAATTTTCTTAACTAAACAGATCCATAAGCTTAGACATAAAAGAGTCTGGGAGAGGCAGTCTGGAGATGATGGGTTGGCCAGGATGGTTTTCAGCATCTCTACTGCTAACCAGAAGGCTGGCGGTTCAAACCCACCAGCCACTCCTCGGAAGCAAGATGGGGCAATCTACTTCCGTAGTGATACTGCCTTGGAAACCCAAGGAGGGGTCGCTATGAGTCAGGTCCAACTTGATGGCACATAACAACAACAACAACAACAAACCCCTAGGGTGGAGGATTTGACTTCGCTTCCCATACTTTTCTGGGACCAGGCCTTAGAAAGTGTGAAGAGGGCCAGTAGACATAGAAAAAACTTTCTATGTTTTTGTGAATCAAGAACAAACTATGAATAGAGATTGGTTTTTCATCCTTAGCTCATTCATTCATTCATTCAATAAACATTTACTGAGTGGCTCCTGGAGCAGGTGGTATGCTACATGCTAGGAATAACAAAATGGATGTGGTCCTTGTCTCACAGGAATTTGTAATCTGGTTTAACTGCATCAAGTGGTTGTGTGAAGAGCTGGGGGAGGCACTCTGTTCCTCATTTTGCTACATCTGCCCAAGGGGTGGAATTCTACCACCATGGGTTTCTGCATGATCTATTCCTTAAGAGTGGTTACACACACAGAAAAAGCATAGGTATTAGTTATCTCTCTTCTCTTTACTTCATTTTCTCCTGAAAGGTACATTTTACAGACGGGACTTTCTTTTTCTTTGGAAATAGTGTAGACAGTTCTTTTTTCTTCTCCTTCCCCTACACTCAGGAAACCCAAGGCCTAGATTCAATGTCCTGAGCTGTGGTTCAAGGTCACTCACTGTAGCTGGGCTGGAGCAAGGACTCACTTGTGTTTTTTTATTTTTTATTTTTTTCTCATCCTTTGTTTCATCAGTCTGGTGTGGTACTTGGAACATAATAGACACTCAATAAATGCTGTTGACTAAGGAAAGAACAAATAATGAATATACATGCTTATGTCAAGGAGCCCAGATCTCTCTCTGATCCTGTAGTGCGTATGTATCTAAGTATAGAGGAAGGAAGTGAGGCATGGGGATGGAAGAAAAAAAGATGTGGTTGTTGTTTTTGAGGGTATGATGCCTAAAAGGTGTGGGGTTTGGAGACTTCAAGACAGAGCCTGGAATTGAAGGAGTTACAGAGAGGATATAGAAATGCCGTTACTTAGATTGTGTGAATGAGATGTGTCAGGCTAAAACTGTGCATTCCTGACATGTATACATATGTGTTGGGTATGAGAGGTTGGTGTGCATGCTGAGAACATTTTGTGTCCATTATCCATAATGATGTCTCTTTGTTTATATGCTTATAAATGGCATGTGTGATAATATATGTGTTGGGAAAGTACACACTTACCTGAGTACCTGAAATTGTCCTTCTGTGTCAGTGAGATGATGTATGTTTGTGTAGGTATTGGGATACTGTGTATGTGTGATCTTGTGTATATGTTTATATCACACTCACTCAAATTTTTTGACAATCCTGGGGAGATCCTGGGGGTAAGAGGAGGAAGCTGAGGGGCTGGACTGGGTGCTTCACTGATTCACCCCACCTTTTGCCCTCATTTTGTATATGCTCCATGGAGCTATCGTCTGTGGTTCTTACTAGTTTTGGAAATCATGTTGTTGTCCTCCTCCTCTGCATATAGCTGTGGAGTTGTTGTGAAGATTGCAGGATAAATCATGGCTCCCTGGAACTCTGGAGAAAAAGAATCATCATTTCACCCAGACCTTGGTGGGGATGATTTTTAATGCCTTTTCCCTTGGACTAGTCCTTCCTCCCTTCTTTCCAATCATGGCAGGGGCAATCTCTCCTCCCTGGTTTTTACCACACCTCCCCCCACCCCATCAGCTTGGTCTTGAACAAGGATTGTGTGCTATCTCTAGGATGGTAGAGAGTAGATAATTCTTGCAGCAAGGTGAAGGGGAGGTTCAGGGGGACAGTAAATCAAAGTCAGATCAAAGGAAGAGTTCCACAAACCTCTAGTCATAAAGGTGGTTGGAGGGAATAGGGACAAAGGGTGGTGGTGATGGAAGAGCATAGGTACTGGAATTGAGAGATTTGTGTTTGAGGTGATGTTCCCATTATGCCAATTAC